CACCCCCAGGCTCAGCACCCCTAGGCTCCGCATCCCCAGGCTCAGCACCCCCAGGCTCAGCACCCCCAGAAGCAGCACCCCGAGCAGAACCACTCTCAGCAGGACCTGAGTCACCAGTGACCTCAACCGGCGCAGTCAAGGGAGGAGGGTCTACCTGAGACACACCTGAAGGAGCACGACCGGGAGCGGGGAGGGGGTCTACCTGGGGAGCACTTAGAGCGAGGAAGAGCGGCGGGGGGGGGGGGAGAGGGGCAGTGCGGTAGGGGAAGAGACGGTAAAAGGGAACCGACTCGTCGAACGTGACGTCCTGAGAGGGGAAGACACGGCGCGAGGTGGGGTGGTAAAACTGCCAACCAGGCGCGTCAGGGACAAAGCCCAGGAAGACACAGGGAACAGCGCGGGCGGAGAGCTCGTCCGCGGTGGTATCGCGGACAAAGGCACGAGCACCCCAGACCCGGAAACGCGACGCATCGCCAACCTTCCCCATCCACAGCAGTGTTGGCGAGGTCTCCGGCAAGGAGACACGGGGCTAGAGGTTGAGCTGATGCGCGGCGTACCGGACCGCAAACGGCCACAGAAAATGGGGGGCAGCCGCATGGATCATGGAGGTACGAGCGACCTCCATGACTAAGCCAATGCGGCGCTCAGCAACCCCATTCTGCTGCGGAGAGGCTGGAAGCGTGAACGTCTGGCGGATGCCGTGCTCCGCACAAAAGGCTGCCAAGAGGTCTGAGGAGAACTCACCACCTCTGTCAGAGTGCAGACGCAGGACGGGAAACTCCGTCCCGAACAGCTCGCGGAGCTGGAGACGAACAGCACGGATCCAGGGGATCAAAACATCAGGGACCTCCCCCTTGCGCTGCAAAGGGAAGACCGTGGTGTAACGCGTGTAGTCGTCGACGACCAGCAGGAAGTACCGCTCGTGGCCCTGTCCACAGACGCGGGCTGGGCCCCACACGTCCAGGTGGAGAGTTTGCAGGGGAGCCTCTGTGGGAGGGAACGAGGAGGAGTGAGGAGCGGCGCGCTGCCGCCCTTCGACACAGGGAAGACAGGGAGGAGCAGGCGAGGGTGGGAGGGGAGGGAGAACCCTAGGAAGACCAGAGACAAGAACGCGGCGATGCATGCTACGAAGGCGCTGCACCGAGGGGTGACCAAGGCGGTGGTGCCAAAGGAGGGTCTGGTGCGACAAGGCGCGACACGAGCAGGGGGCCGACAACTGACCTGACGCAGACGCAGACGCAGCTACCTGAGGGGACTCAGTGGTCAGTGTGTACAGGCCCGACCCCGGCTGCCGAGTGAAGGTAGCCAGGTGACGACCCGTCTGAGCACACGTGCAGTGTGTCACACGCTCGTAGGCAGGGGTGAACTGGTGAACACCCGCATCCTGGAGCGCAGAACCCGCCACCAAGTTCGTAGAGAACGACGGGAGGTAAAGACACGACAGTGTGCCGGACCGGACAGCAGGACAAGGGAGGACATTGGTGGAGGTCGCATGGACTAGACCCTCAGAGGGGTCTGCCAGGGAGACTGCAATCGGCCGACTGAGCGGCGTGAGGGTGGTGCTGTCGCGAAAGAAGGAGCGAGAAGCACCGGAGTCAAGTGTGAAGGTGTACAAGGCCTCAGCAGGCGCAGTACCAGAGAGAGCAGACTCACCAGCACCTGGAGCAGCCGCTTCATCTGCACCCAGAGCAGGAGACGCACTAGCACCTAGAGCAGTAGCCTCACCAGCACCTAGAGCAGGAGACGCACGAGCACTTAGATCAGCAGCCTCACCAGCACCGAGAGCAGCAGGCTCTATACCTGGGTCAGGCGGTACGCACAGGTAACAGGCACGGTCAGCACTAGTAGGCAATGCATACATGGCAGTGAGAATAGCATCATAGTCAAGAGCAAATATATCTACCCTCTGCCCAAGCAGCTCCACCCAGTCGGGGAGCTCTGCATCGTCGCCAAACTCGGTACGCCAGGCGTCGCTCAGACGGGCGAAGCAGCGGGACTGTATGTGACTAAGCGTCCCGCAAGCTTGACCAGTCTGATCACCTGTGCGAATGACGTACGGGCAGCGAACGGTACTCAAAGACCCCTACTCTGAGCGTACCACTCACGAAGCTGCTGAGGCGTAAGTGTCTCGCGCGGACGCCGCTGCAGCTGCAGCTGGCCACTGCCAGACGCTCCCGACTGACCAGCTCGAGGGCGACAGCCACGACGGCTACCGCCACAACCCCAACTAGCGTACCACTCACAAAGCTGCTGAGGCGTGAGAGACTCGCGCGGACGTCGCGGGAGCTGCATCTGGCCACCGCCAGTAGCAGCAGTAGCTGCTGCAGCGCGGGCAGGGCAGGCGCGGCAGGCAGGCAGGCAGGTAGGCAGGCAGGCAGAGGGCGCGGCAGTGCGCGAACAAGGCAGGTGCTCACCAGTGGCGGGAAGGGCCGGCGCACGGGGGGCGGCGGCAGGGTAGGCGCACGACGGCGGCGACGGCGGGGCCGCGGCAGCTGCAGGGTGGGGCCGCGTCAGCGGCAGGTCGGGGCCGCGTCAGCTGCAGGGCTGGCGGGGTCGCATCGGCGTCCGGGCGGGGCCGCGTCGGCGGCAGGGCGCGGCCGCGTCAGAGGCAGGGCGGGGCCGCATCGGCTGCAGGGCGCGGCCGCGTCAGAGGCAGGGCGGGGCCGCGTCGGCTGCAGGGCGCGGCCGCGTCAGAGGCAGGGCGCGGCCGCGTCAGAGGCAGGGCGGGGCCGCGTCGGCTGCAGGGCGCGGCCGCGTCAGAGGCAGGGCGCGGCCGCGTCAGAGGCAGGGCGGGGCCGCGTCGACTGCAGGGCGCGGCCGCGTCGATTGCAGGGCGCAGCCGCGTCGAAGGCAGGGCGCGGCCACGTCAAAGGCTGGGCGCGGCCGCGTCAGAGGCAGGGCGGGGCCGCGTCGGCTGCAGGGCGCGGCCGCGTCGAAGGTAGGGCGGGGCCGCGTCGACTGCAGGGCGCGGCCGCGTCGAAGGCTGGGCGCGGCCGCGTCAGAGGCTGGGCGCGGCCGCGTCAGAGGCAGGGCGGGGCCGCGTCGGCTGCAGGGCGCGGCCGCGTCAGAGGCAGGGCGCGGCCGCGTCAGAGGCAGGGCGGGGCCGCGTTCTGGCCTGACGGGCCTGCAGGGGCGGCTCGCGGGCCTGACGGGCCTGCAGGGGCGGCTCGTGGGCCTGACGGGCCTGTAGGGGCGGCGCGTGAGCCTTACGAGTCTGCAGGGGCGGCGCGCTGGCCTTACGGGCCTGCAGGGGCGGCGCGCTGGCCTAGGGCAGCAGGAGGCAGCGCGAGGGCTGCAGGACGGCGCGCGCAGCGCAGCACGTCACAAGGCAGGGCAGGCAGGCAGGCAAGCAGGCGCAGGACAACACGTGGGGTAGCGCGGTAACCGCAACGATAGGTGGGCCCGAAAAAAAGACGGTCCTACGGACCTAGTGCTCTGAAACCATGTTAGAATCTTGTTAGAATCTAGCAGCAGGAATGAATGCACTATGGAAGAGTTGGGTACAAGTATGAAACCCTAAACGGGGCTGTACCCCATATTGGCTACCCCACTACAGCCTACACACATATAACATGCATATGCTTTGACAGTAGGTGCTGAGTTGTCGCTGATAAAATCTGAGGGTGATCATCAGTAGCCTTGGAAACGCCATGAAATAAGAACAGCCAATCACGACTCCGATGTGAGAGCTCTCGTAAAACACAGTGGATCAATGTCAGGATGTCAGCTGATGAAGCCTTGAGATTGTTTGGTTGTAAGAAACTGAACAGCAGATCCCAAGAAGCTCTTGATACGATGTTCGCCTGATGAACATTGTAAGTGTACCAATCGATTCGTCGCGATAAGACGAGTTCAAATCTGTGCTTCTTAAAGCCAACTGATAACTCTACTTCACGAAATGCTTGGTTGAATACCCTCCATGGCGGCGAGCTCGAGAGTCATGAGAACCACAAGTGGTGGTGGAGATGCTTCCGCTGATCAAGTTCCATTTTGGCGAATCTGTGTAACGAGGTTTAATCTCATACTTTAGGCCTTCAGCTTGCTCCGAAGCGCTCAATTGAGCTGGTTCGGCCTACTTTGCCACGCCGAACCACTTCCGAGTCGCCTCCGCACATTCCGTCGCACTTCCGAGCCTCACATCCCCGACGTCCTTGCCTAGCTAAAATCTGCCTTTTTTACATTGTTCTAGACTATTGATGGACCACCCCGTGGTAAATTGTAGATTTCGGATTACAGTGCATTTCACTTCTTTGGTGAACCACTGCTCTCATAGCGAATCACATATGCCTTGGTTGGTTGCGTCTCACCACCTCTTGGCCAAACATGGGCCGATGGGTATGTTGGAGTCACAAGAGCCGCATTTAGCAAGTGAGAGCTGGGAGGCCAACAATGGGGCGTCAGATAAGTGGCGCTTTGTCGTCGCCGTCCGTCACGCTCTTTTCGCCCTATTCGAGCCAAAGAGCGTGACGGACGGCGATGACAAAGCGACAGACAGGGCGAAAAGAGCGTGACGGACGGCGACGACAAAGCGACAGACAGGGCGACGAAACAACGACAGAAAGACGAATGTAGAAGACGAGAGCGAAGAGAACTGATTCGCGATGGCTCAAAGCCGCGACAGCAGAGGCGCAAGGAACAGCTGCAATGGCGGGTGGGGCAAGCACGCGCGCGCAGGCGGGGCTCCTGGTGGCGGCAGCGGCGGAGGCAGCAGTGTTGCTTCGAGCAGCACGGCCAGAGCGGCGGTGTCTGCTCACGGCGACAAGGCGGTGGCAGACAGAGCGATAGAATCCGCGATGGCGGAGAGCCGCGACAGCAGAGGCGCGAGGAGCAGCAGCAATGGCAGGTAGGGTCGCGTAGGCAGGGCTCCTGGTGGAGGCAGCGGCGGAGGCAGGGGCGGCGACAGCGGCAGCGGCGGAAATAGCACCGTTTCTGCAAGCAGCACAGGCCGGAGTGGCGGCTGCGACTCGAAAAGGCGGTGGAAGCTCCGCATGGATAATCTCCTAACCGCCGCCACCGCGCTGCGCTCTCACCTCTGCCGCCGCCTCCTCGAGAGTCCGCGGAAGTAGGTTTGCACTCCAGTGGGAGAAGGGGCACCGACGGGGGCAGCAATGACGGGCGGCCGCACGGAGGGGGAGGGGAGAGGAAAGTGAGGATGTGGGCGTGTGTGGTTCGGGTTTGGCGGAAACGTTGCGCTGGGTGGGAGAAAATGGGGCAGGGTGCAGAGCAAGATGGGGGAGAGGGGGAGAAGAGGCAGGCGGAGGGGTGGGGAAAAGGGGGAGAGAGGGAAGGGGAGAGAGGGCGCGCCAGGGGCAAAAGTACGTGCGCAAGGAAGGGCGCGAGAGGAGCCGCGAGTGGGGGAACCGGGGGGGAAGCGGAGGGGGCTGAGAGGGGGAACGGGTGCTAGTGAACCCAGCAACTTTGGAGAGCATGGGTGTAGAGAAGGGAGAGGCAGACACCGAAGCAGAAGCGAGTGAACCGCATCGGCCAGGCTGTGCTTACTGATCGGTGGAAGGGGTCGGGCACATATGCTACTGAGGAGCGAGCTTGAGAGAAGGGGTAGAGAAGGGTGGAGTAATCAGATGAAGGGATGCTCAGCACCCCGAGCTGCCAGCTGGCGCCAGCTGCCCCTGAGTTTTGAGACGTCTCGAAGCTGCCTCTGCAGCTCATCGCGAATGGTGTAGCAAAAAAGAACGGAGAGGCTTTTCAGACACGGACCTCAGAGCGAATTATATTGAATCTGATTGGTGCGGATCGTACGAGCGAAACTAGTGTTTGCAACCACAGGATTAGGGAAAGTGTAAGGATGAGATGACGGAAGTAGTAGGCGGCTGGAGCAGGCGGCTGGTGGGGCTGATGGAGGCGGCAGGCGGATGGAGACAGCAACCGCCCAAGTGCCTGCTGTCGCCTTGCTGCGATCGGAATTGACAGGAGGCGAGCAAATGTGGCGTGAAGCAACATGCCACAGAAGATGGGGCAGCAGTGAAGCCCAGCAGGGCACGTACGAGTCAAGGAGATAGGTGGATGGAGAGGACACAAGGAGAAGTCGGGAGAAATTTGAGATTGGGGCCAGGGCTCAAGCAGGCGGGCCTGGGGTATTGTGAGGCGTGGGCATGTGAACCATGATCACCCGATGAAGATGGGGGACGCATGCTTGGCCGCAGAGGAGGGGCCGAGAAGGGGCAAGAAGCAAGTGCAGGTGCAAAAATCTATGGGGAAGGGGGAATGAATGAGGTGAGTCCTGGGAGGCAGGAAAAATCCTGCTCTTATAATGCCACGATCTTCGCTTGCTTTGCAACCTTACCGCAACCGCAAAGATCAAGATTAGGGTGCGGTCATCTTCTCTCACTTCTCCACCTTCCTTGCCTCCATAGCTTTTCTCTAGGTGTTATGCACTGTCTTTTCTTTCCTCCCCCTTTTCCCCTCCGCCCCCACCTTCACCACCTGCACCCTATGCTGCTCCCTCCTCTCCCAATTCGCTCTCTTCCACCCCCGTTTCCCTTGTCCACTCTTGCTTCTCATTCCTTTTTGTGAAACACAGATTCCAGCCTCATTTTCCCTCATTTCCCCCATCATTTCTCCTCTGCTTTCTTCCTTTAGCCCTCCTTTCCCCTCCTTCCCCTCCACCTTTCACCCTTCACACAACCACCTTTCTGCCTGCCCTCTTTTCCTGCTTCCTTCTACCCCTGTCTGACCCATGTCCCTCGCCACCATCAGTCTCCTCAACATCACATTCGATACAGTCAGAAATGAACTACGTGACTCTCTCCCACCTCCTCCAGCTCCATCAGTCGCCCCACTGCCAGCTCTCGACTCTCTCCCGCCCCTCCTCTCCCACCTCCTCCAGCTCCATCAGTCGCCCCACTGCCAGCTCTCGACTCTCTCCCGCCCCTCCTCTCCCACCTCCTCCAGCTCCATCAGTCGCCCCACTGCCAGCTCTCAACTCTCTCCCGCCCTTCCTCTCCCACCTCCTCCAGCTCCATCAGTCGCCCGACTGCCAGCTCTCGACTCTCTCCCGCCCCTCCTCTCCCACCTCCTCCAGCTCCCTTTTCTGGGAGAGAAGAAGGTGAGAGGAAGGCGGGAAGGGCAGGAGGAGCATGTGAGCATGAGAGATGCAAATGTGCTCGAAAGGAGATGCTGGGTTTGATTTGAAAATGTAAACCAGGGAGGGTTCCGCCCGCCACGGTTTGCAGTGCGCACGGGCACGCGGGAGGCGGGAATGGGAACCAGGCAGAGAAGGGAAGCAACAGGAGCCACGCGCTGCGCTGTCCCGAGAACACACAGCGAGTGGCCTGCTGCGAGTCTCGGATAAAATAGGGCGAGGTCGGTGGATTGGCTAATAGAGAGGAGGAATTTTGGGACAAGTCAACGTCGTCGCAACTGGGATGCGATTGGAATAGCAAGGACTTGGAGCCTTGCAGTGATCTTTCACACACGTCACTGTGGTGCTTTGAACAAATACAAATGCCATGCAATCCGTGTTGGCCCAAAGATCTTGTTAGTTCTCAGGAAGTATAGGTTTTTGCATAAGATATTATTTTCCTCAAGTCAAGTGTGTGCCTTGTTACAGGGAAGCAGATGGCAGCTGCAGAGTGAGTAAATGACTTACTTGATCTGTCCCTCACTCACGCACCCTGCCCAACTCGCCCATCTCGCCCATCTCAATCCTCCCTCCTCATACCCCCATCTCGCCCATCTCAATCCTCCCTCCTCGTACCCCCATCTCGCCCATCTCAATCCTCCCTCCTCGTACCCCCATCTCGCCCATCTCAATCCTCCCTCCTCGTACCCCCATCTCGCCCATCTCAATCCTCCCTCCTCGTACCCCCATCTCGCCCATCTCAATCCTCCATCCTCGTACCCCCATCTCGCCCATCTCAATCCTCCCTCCTCGTACCCCCATCTCGCCCATCTCAATCCTCCCTCCTTATACCCTTATCTCGCCGTCCCCCATGAGGATGCCCATGAGTACACCTCTGCTCGCCGCTCTACTGCGTTCTCTCGGAAGCCACCACTATAGTTGCTGGTGCTGCCGCTTCTGCTCATGCCCATCCCCCCACCTACCGCGCTTACCCTGGGAAGCGGCAGTGCAGCAGTGGGAGGAAGGAGGGCTGGAACAGAAGGGATGGATGGAGGAGAGAGGACGCAGAAGGGTGGAGAGAAGGTCGACCAGGCGAGGACTGGGGACGGGAGTCAAGGTGTGGTGGGCTGTGTAGCAATTTCTTGTCCACTACGAGGGTGGTGCAGGAGTGTGTGGAGTCTGGAGGTAGAGAGATCGCGGAGGAGTTTTTTGTCTCACACCCCTCTTACTCCTCCAACCCACATGCCCTGCACCTCACTCTGCCCTACTGGCTCTGCCACATATGCCACTACTGCTGCTGCTCCTCATTGTGCTCTTACTAGCATTGTGTCGCCGCGAACGAATAGCGACGTCGCGGCTAGATCGCACAACCTCCCAGCCATCCGCAGTGGTTCATCTAAATAGTTTTAACGTCAACCTCGCGAAGCAACATACCGATCATGTTCATTGGCGATCAAAGGTGTTACCTGTCAGAATCCCGGCCACTAACCACTAGGATAAAAGGGCTTGTTAAGTAGCGAGTCAGTGCGCCCATAACCCCACAGGACAATGAGCCTGTAACCCTTCCCTAGGATCAATCGAGGATCACCTGTGGACCTCTAACACCCACCCGCACTGGGATGCCCGAAGTGTACACACCGGGATTCAAACCCAAGACCTTTGCTCTAATACCATGTCAGAATCCCAGCCACTAACCATGGGATAAAAGGGCTTGTTAAGTAGCGGGTCAGTGCGCCCATAACCCCCCAGGACAACGAGCCTGTAACCCTTCCCCAGGATCAATCGAGGATCACCAGTGGACCTGTGACATTACCGCCAGCCCCCGGATAAGCCCGCCCCTGGGATTTAAAAACAAAAACACGTTTTTTAGGGGTGGGCTTATAATTGGGGATTTTTAAAAGCGTCGGCGCTTACATAATGACATTTATGAAATGCGTAATTCTTATACCAATTTGGAGATCACGTTTTTGCAATTTGAATGAGTCGAAACTATACAGGACTGGAATTGAGAATCTCGCCGAAGCTGGCAGGGAATGATTCCCTGCCAACACACATAGTCAGAATGAGTCAACTTACGCCCCTGACAGGTCATTCTGACTGGACACGCAGGCAATAAGCCGAGCGAGGTGAAGGGATCGAAATTCAAACTGTGGGAATGGAATGTGCATTTTGTTACAACGATTTCAGTAAAATTATAACAAAAACAAACAACAGGTGGCGCTTACAATACGTAAGCCTGCAAGTGTGTGCTTATAACCGAGGACCGGATATATGCGCCGCCATCCTTTTATAAGCGCTGGCTCTTATCCGAGGACTGTGCTTATATTCGGGGGGGCTTACGGTAATGGCTTGCGTGAATATTTCACGTGTGCTGCGATGCTTTGAAGATTGAGGAGTAATTAACATCAAATACGAGCGACAACATACCTTCGAAGATGAAAGGAGAATGCCTGAGCAACAAGATGTTGACAATCGAGGGAGATGCTCGATTGCGACAATGTTATCAACCCCCCTACCCAGTGTACATCGGAGGCACGGATGAGCATACCAGGCAATTGCTACCTGTGAATCAATCGAGGAGAATAAGCTAATCATCTTCATACCCTCGAATGACACGATCACCGGCTGTGCATCTACACCTGTATACCTTGGTAGTTTCGCCTGTTACAACCACCAAGAAGAATCTACACGGAAGAGGGAGTTGATAGATTCTTCTTCAACCGTTACGAGTTGCTGAAATCTCTATGTAAATTTTGTCGCGCATGGAGAAAATGTGCGACTGCATTTGAGGACTCGAAGAATCTACAATAATAAACAACTCCTGATGGGATTCCTCCGCACAAAGGAGAAGAGACTAGATGTAGTCCAGTATAATTTTGAAGACCAGATCTGGCATAATATTGTAGTGTTTCTAGTATGCAGTGGGATGGAGATACCACTACGCACTGGAACAATGTGGCTTTGCCATATGCCCTCAAGAGCTCGAAAAGAAGTCCTCATGGCCCTATGACTTGCGTTAAGGTCATGAAACATGCGTCATCAACAGCATCATTTCCATGGAAGCAGTACGGTGTGAACTGGAGTGCCGATGCAACTCAAGATAGCAGACTCCGCGATTTCTCCATCAATCACATCTACTACACGACCTAGAGTGAACACAACGATGCCGAGAAGCTGACGCAATGTTGTCAGACTCGGCATGAACGCACAACCCACTGTCTTCTTTGCTCATAGGGGCTGAAATGAGAGTATAGACTAATTCGAGTGCGTGGGCTGATTTAACAGGGTGGGCTTAATGGAGACTGTGCGTGTGTGGCAAGGCTTGTCTCACCTCGTGGCGGAGATCGTGTGGCTGCCCTGCCGTGCCATGCAATCCCCCGCAGCTAGGATTGTGGCACACATAGCTGAGAGCGGTGGGGGAGGTGGGGGGAGAGGGGAGGGATGAGACGAGGGGGGGAGCAAAGAGACGGGATGGGGGGATGAGAGGCCGCCCCTAGTCCTAAACATATAAATATATGTATATATAATACCAAGTCCCCCCAAGTCCCGCAAGTCCCCCAAGTCCCCCTAGTCCCCCAAGTCCCCCAAG